CCCCCCCCCTTGCCCATCTTTTGGAACAAATGCAAGCAGGGCTGTGTTACCTGCGGCCACCTGCCGTTTGACTGTGCCCGTCTCTTGATCTCCTCCACCGTCCTCCTGCGGGAATCCTGGTCTGACCGGGACACAAAGACAGGCCGTATGTACTTGATCAGAGCTGAAAGAGAAGGCAAGTTGCCCTATGGCGATGCACTGCTTCCACCCGAGCAGGACTGGGTGAGAGGGGAGACCCCCCGGCTGTCCCGAGGGCTGTGCCACGGGGCGGGCGGGAGTCCTTGCCTGACCACATGGAAATCAGAAACACCAAAGCTTCTGCTGAACTCAGACCACAGCACAAAGCCTTACAGCACATGAGGCCCAAAGTAACTAACACTGAGTATCCACAGGTCAATCAGGGACAGAGCGGAACAAGGCTGGCCCACCAGGGAGCAGAGCGCCTCTGTCACCATGTAAATAATGACGGCATGGGGCCCAGAGGCTCCGTCAGAGAGCCAAGGCACGTGGCTTTTGTTGTGGCTTGGACTGTGTCCCTCAAAAACACAGGCTCATGTCTAGACACCTTGATGGTGAACTTATTTGGAAAGGTGTTTGCAGATGTATTCCAGGACAGGGAGGCAGTGTGGACTGAAGTGGGACCTTTCAGCGACCAGGGTTTTTTATAAAGGAGAACAGACAGACAGGGAGACAGGGAGACAACACTGTGTGATAAGGGAAGCAAAGGTGGGAGTGACGTGACTGTAGCCAAGGGGCCTAAGGACTGCCGGGTGCCCCTGGAAGCCACAGAGGCCTGGGATGGGCTCTGCCTCAGCGCCAGCCCAGTCAACACCTCGATGTTGGACTTCCAGCCTCAGGACTGGGGCAGAGTAAACTCCTGTTGTTTAAGCCACCTGTCTGTGGTGCTGTTGTGGCAGAACCTGGGACACTCATCCTGACTGTGGGTCAGGGCTCCCTAGACCAAAGCTGACATCCGTCCTCTTGCAAGAGGATTCAAGGCGGGAAGATACTTCTTAGAAGAGAACACTTTGAACTGACTTTATTTATTTTTTAAATATCTTTATTGATTTCAGAGAGGGGAAGGGAGAAGGAGAGAGAGACATAGAAACATCAATGATGAGAGAGTCATTGATCGGCTGCCTCCTACATGCCCCACACTGGGGATCGAGCCCGCAACCTGGGCATGTGCCCTGACCAGGAATCGAACCATGATCTACTGGATCCTAGGTCAATGCTCAACCACTGAGCCACGCACAGCTGGGCTGAACCAACTTTGAAGTACAACTGTCCTCAGTGACAGCTTCGTTCTGGAGGAACGAGGTTGAGCTAGAGACCAAGGCAGCTGGTGACCCCCCAGGGCGAGTGAGGCTGCGTCACCCCTGCTCCGCCTGGGTCCTTGCTGAGCCAAAGGTGAGCTTCCAGCTCCTCTCCTGAGTGTTTTCATTACTTGTAAGGAATACTATTACCTGACTTCTTAGTGGTCTTCCAAAGAATGAGAACATTTATTTACAAAAATATAATAAAATTCTATCTGGCTGGGTTGCAGGGCCCACAACATCCCAGACACGTGAACCTTAGTGCTGCTCTTTTCCCTGTGTCTTGAACATCCTGCCTTTTCACCATTCTATGAACTGTTTCCTCCTTTCTTGCCAGGTATTCCCAACTCTGCTAAAACGACAGTGAGAAAGAAAGGGAGGGTGATGACATTGCTTTCTGCGACCCACAACAGGGTCCTCTCCCAACCAAACTGTGCCGGCACCCTGAACTCCTAACCCCCAGGACCCGTGAGGGTGGCCTGCTCCGACCAGTAGGTGTGCTCCCACACTCTGGGGCTGGGGAGGGATCTCACTCACTTCCCCATATCGGAATGTCTCTGCTCTCTGCCTTCATCACGATGGAGGACATGGTCATGGTGACGGGAATGGCATCAAAGTAGGAGGAGTGCGGGGCCAGGGTGAGAATGGCCGCTTCAGTGGGCAGGGCCTGCCGGCCCTTCACAGTGACCCGGTGGAAGCCACCGACGAACCACATGGTACGCATGATGGCCTTGAGCAGGAAGTCCACGACCCTGCAAAAGAAGGTGCAGGTCAGATGTGCCAGCAGTGGGCCCCAGCCCCCCCCACCCCATTATGCACACACCAGTCACACAGAGACCATCGCTGGGGTCTCAGCGCTAACCTCACTCAGTCATCCAGGGACAGCTCATCCTTGCAACAGCTATTACTGAAACATCCCACAAGGGGAAAAAGGGTGCTGCTCTCTTTATTTAAATGTGCAGTGGGATGTTTTCTTCATGCATTTATCCAAGAAAATAAAGAGCCTGCTCTGTTACATTACGCAGCAGCTTTAAGACAACACGTGACCCTGGAATATAACAGGAAAGCACACGGGGCCAAAGTTAAAGACACCGATACCTTAAATGTTACGAAGAGATTTACTGGCATTCCAAGTATATACATTTTAAATGATAAAACACCTAAAACACATATTAAAATATGGAGTGAAACCCAGAGCTGAGATTAGGAGCAGAGACCTGCCGTGTAAACTCCCCACCCACATGTGGGTGAATGGCATAGCGAGTCAGTCTCAGCAGCAGGACATGCGCCAGTCCACGGGAAGGAGTCACCTTTATAAGGAGCCAGGCCTCACCTGGCCACTGGTTTACCTGCTTATCGAATTGGGTAAAATGGCTACAGAAACACAACAGCCTCAAACTGCACTGGACTGACCTCCCAAGGGGCTTGAAAACCCTGAAGAAAATTCCAGAAGATGAGGCCTGACTGGTCTGAGCAGTCGCCAGTGGCCAGAAGAGCACAGGGCCCTGAGGAGCTGTTTGGAATATTTCTGTTTTTCAGGATGATGAACAGTGACTGTGAGGCTGCACACCGAGATGTAGGGATCGAGCACGAAGCACTACTGCTCAAGCCGGTGGGATCGTGCAGGTATGCGCTTTTATTATTCGTCCAACTGCATGTTTTAAATGCATATTACTGTTCACAATAAAAACATGTACAGAAATGAAAGTCAGTAATGCCCACTGATGTATAAAGAGGAAGAAACAGGGTTGTGGGGGAAGCTGCAGTGGGGACAGGAACTGTCCTGAAGGCAGGTTTGGAGGCAGGAGGGAGAGGAGAGCTGTTAAACAGTGGGGATCAAATCCCAATCTTTCTATTAGAGACACACCCACCACCTCAGATCAAAGCTCAATAGAAATATGGGAGGGGCGGAGTGGTGTTACTGATAGTTCTCCAAAGGTGTTGGTGGAATTCTATCCCCACTCAAACTGCAGGAAGGCTGCGTGGATGCCGGCCTCAGAGCACAGCCCTGCCCACTACTCAACGCTGGGGCCCAGTGCCACTCACCCCAAAGTTCAGGCAATGATGACAGACCCAAGGTGCCCTGAGCTTTTCCAAAGGAACATGAATTGGGACACAGATCTACCTACACAAGGCTGGGGACCTCCACCTTCTGCTCTACCTTCATCACACAGGTGGGCACCTTAGAATCTGAGACATGTGGGCAGGACCAGCCCCATGACAGGGAACAGACTATGAACTGAGGAGGCCCACAGTGCAGGCACGGTGTGTGTGTGTGTTAAACCTACACTGTCATCAGTATTGTTACAGAAAGTCAAGAGTGAGGCCATTGGAGAAGTGCAGGGAACAATAAAACACTCTTGGAAATCAACAATCTCAGTGCAGAAATAATCAATTCGTGAGAAAGTCTGGAAAATGTGGAGCAGAACGTGCAGAAAAAATGAGAGGGACAGACTATAAGGCATGAGGAAGAGTTTCTTAGAGGCCAGCAAAGCCATAAATCTTCACGTCCTGTCAAGGTGCTGAGCAGAATGAATTTTTAAAAAAGTCTCATACTTAGAAATGTCCTTCAAGAATTTTTCAAATGACCAAGGACAAAGAAGAGTCTAAGGCCTCCCAGTAAGGAACAAGCAGGTTATTCCAGCATTGGCACTGTGGGTGGTGCAGGCAGCAGACCCACATTTTCAAAGCTCTGAGGACGTAAGATTTAGAACCTTTAATTCTATTTCCAAACTATCCATCAACTGTGCAGGGAAAACAAAGACATTTTCAGACACAAAACATGTCCAAGTTCCTTATGCACGTCCTCTTTCTAAGAAAAGAGCCTGATATTCTAGATAATCTTGGACAAAAACAAGAAAAAGAAAAACCCCCACAGAAACAGGCCCAGGAAATAGTAGATGGTGCCCAAGAGGGTAGCAGCCAGGAGCCAAGCGATGCCACACTAGGAAGAGATTACAGTCTCGGCAGCAGCAGTGACCATGAGACGGAGCATCCTGAGGCTACACTCAAGGCTCACTATGCTTTTTGTACAAGGCGAAACAAAAGATTGAAATTCTGTAAAAGAGGAAAAAAAATACAAGGGAAGTGAAGTTCAAACAGGTCATGTGCATGTAACTGAGAATCACAGGTGTCAGGAAAGAACGAACATCCACAATGACTGTGATGGGTGTGCATTCTAATCCCCCACGAGGGGGCGCTGCAGTGTGTGAACTTGTGCAAATAGACTGAGCTGTCTCCTGCCATGTAGTTGGAGGTCTGCCCTCAACAGACCAAATAACAGCTCTTTCCTTAGGGTCATGGGGCCTACAGGAGACAAAATACAAGCATACGCAGACAGCGGACACCGAGGAGTGGACCCAGAAGGGTGGGCCACAGACTAGCTTTCTATCTCCTGCTCTCCTTTGCTACTCTACTCCCTCCATTCATGCAATGTCCACTGAGCAGCCACTCTCTGCCAGGCATGGGGACACATCAGGGAACCCAGACAGAAATCCCACCCACCTGCAGTTCATTCTGTAGGGTGGGAAATGAGTTTTGTTAAAAATTAGTGAATTGTGGAGTAAATTAGAAAGAGGTATCGCCCATGAAACAATAAAAATAAAAGGAAAGCAAAGTCAGGAGAGTCAGCAACAGCACAGACATGAAGGGAATGAGCTAACCTGTGCATATCTGAGTGAAACACATCAAAGGGAGAGAACCACCTGTGCAAAGGTCCTGGGGCAGCAGTAAATAACGTGCTGAAGAGGCAGGAGGCCCACGTGGCTGGAGAAAGGGGGAGAGGGAGGGAGGGAAGGAGGGAAGGAGGGAAGGAGGGAAGGAGGGAAGGAGGGAGGGAGGAGAAAGAAGACTGTGGGACGAATGGCAGATCACGAGGGCACTGCAGGCACTGACAGGAAGACAGTATTACTCTGTAGTACCCAGACACAAAGCTCCTGCAGAGCTGAGGCAGAGGAGAGCCAAGCTCTGACTTCCATTTGTAGAGGACCCTTGACTGCTATGAGAGCAGGTGACAGGCTACTCTGGGGTTTGGGCCAGAGGCAGTGGGACCAGGTGGAGGGTCAAGTGTGTTCTAAAGGTGGAGCCACTACATTTCCTGCTGGTGAAAGGGAGGTGTGAAAGAGGGAGGGTCCCAGTAATTCCTGGGCCTGGCCTGGCCACAAACAGTATGAAGTCCTATCAACGGAGGTGGAACAGGTGGGAGATGGGAGCCTGGAAGCTCTGTTTGGGTGCACTGAATTGGAGATCACCTACAAACAGGTCAGCTCTGGGGTTGGGCTGGAAGAGAGGTCTGGGATAGAGAAAGGAGTCTAAGAGCCATTGGCCTGTGGATAGTCATGGACATCCCTGAAATAGATGAGCTCACAAGGAGGGTACAGGGACTCACTGCAGCCAAGGTCAGGGAGAGGTAGATGTAGCCAGCAAGACAAGAAGGGGCTCACAGAGGTGAGGGAACAACTGGACACTGAGGAGACAATGTGTCCAGATGGAGGGAGCATCCTGACATAGAACCCTGGGGTTGACTGCTGGGGTGTTAGTCCCTGAATATGCAGGCATGTGAAGAGTGGGGCAAGAGCCCAATCCACCTGGGTCTTTAAGATCCATATGGTCCTGGAGACCACTGATCTGCACCTTTCAAACAGTTTTGCTACAGAAAGCAGCACCCAGACAATGGGAGAGGTGACAGCTGGCCTGGGTGTTGATGAGACCTGGGGGAGTGAAGCATTGACAACTGACAATGAACAGGAGGGGCCTGGGGCCATGTCCTGGAGCTGCAAGGAGCTTCGAGCTCAATGCTGGGCCAAGGTGGCCAGGAGCAGGGACAGTCCCTGGGCAGCAGGCCTGGAGGCAGTGCTGAGTTGCAGACATGCAGGAGTAGGTAGGGGCTGCTGGGCTTCTCTAGGAATCCCGAATTGAGACCCTGGGGTAGGGAGGCTTCCAGGAGTGCAGAAAAGCTAAAGTAAGTTCAAGTCCAGTCTCCAGCCTCCAGTGGACACATGGCATCATGAGTTGTCATGAAGGTGGTTTTCTCAGATCCGAGAGTGGAGTCCCTACACGGAGCACTCAGGACTGAATCATGTCCCCGAAACTCCTATGTTGATGCCCAACCCCCCACATGACTGTATTTTGAAATAAGGTTAAATGAGGTCATAGAGGGGGGCTCTGATCTGATAGGACCAGTGTCCTTATAAGAAGAGAAAGAGAGATCAGAGCTCTCTGGCCTGTGAGGACCCAGCGAGAAGGTGGCATCTGTAACCAGGAAGAGACCCTCACCAGGAGCCCAACCTCTGGCACCCTGACCTCTGACTTTCAGACTCCAGACATGAATGTCTGTTGTTTAGTCCCCGGCTGGTGGTGCTTGGTTAAGGCAACCTGAGGGGATTAAGACACCCTCTTTCTACCATGAGTTGGGAGGGTGAGCACCATGACCAGTCATCACTGTGGGCCCACCTGACCTGTCTCAGGTGTCAGCCTGCTGGTCAGGTTTTGCAAGAAGATGCTACAGTTTTTACAACACTCTGTGTTTTGAAAGTAACTTAGAGTAAGTGCCTTTTGCGAAAGCATGTCCTTCCTTTCATTAAAAAAATCTAAGATTTTAAGAACTGTTGAATGACTCTAACTTACATTCAGCAAAAATGCTCCCTAATCTAACATCAGTCTACTTAGAACCGAACAGCTGTACCCAGCGTGAAAGGACCCACCTCCCTGCCGACTGCATGACAGTGCTCCCCGTTGCGCGCAAGAGAAGTGAATATGCTCTGGACACCGTCATTTCAAAACTGGCTTCCTCTTGCCTCACTGGGTCCCACCCTCGGGCTCACTGTCTGTGTTTGCCTCTGAGGAGTCCACTGTGCTGTGTCTGTTCTCTCCTGTTCTGTTGTCCCTTGAGCACCATCCCCAGCCCGGCATCAGTAAGTTCCCCTTAACAATGCTGCGTGAAGACCCTGAGGGCTGTGCCACAAAAATTCAATGTAGGTGAAGTGTGCAGCTCGAGCACACGTACACACATGTGCAAGCTCACACACTCATGCAAATGCACATGCACAAACACATCTATACACATGTGCAGACACACACACACACATGCTCATACACCCATGCAAATACACATGCCCACACTCAACTCACCTGCATATACACACACACAGAGGATGATACACAGTCTCTGTGGACCTGGATACCCTGCGTCTTCACAGTCTCTGTGAAGACACCCTGCGTCTCTCTGCATGGGGCTCTTGACATGCATGGGATGTTCACATGAGGCATCTGTGAGGCAGGGCTGTGGGAACTGTCTGCTGTGGCCCATTTATTACTCGATGAGGCAAAGTGAATTATTCATAGACAAGAAAGGCTGCCTGGAGTTAGCTTGAGGAATGGAAACCAGCCCAGAGTCATCTATTTTGAAAAGATGGAATCTGCAGCTGGGAGAGGAAGATGGAGGCAGGGGGAGCTATGCTTAAGAACAGAGCAGGAGAAACAAGAATTCACACAAAAAGTGCTGAGAAGTGTCAGTTTCCTACCATTACTAAAATTCCAAACTTTTAATCGAATCACTTGTAATTTGTCAAAAACTACAAAATCTCTGCTTTCTAGCTATGGGTTCTCAACCTCCCGAAATGGAAATTCTGATTCCTTTTTGGTCTAGATTTATTTTGCTCGACTATGCATTTGATACTAAATACATATTTTACAGTCATAACATTAAAAAAACACCACCTGTGTAAAACGTGATCTTCAAAGAGAAATGAAAAATCCGAAAAGGCGGACTGAAGAACCATAGCCAGCACAGCCTACTGCGTCCAGGGAACAGTGACACTGGGCCTAACAGCACTGGTTCATCCATTCATTCTTTCCTTCTCTTGCTCATTCATTCAGTTACTTGCTTGCTCCTCTCACTGACTCATTCGCTTGGGAACTACTGTCCAGCACCCCCAGGCCAAGCGCCATGCTTGGTGCAGAGTGGGGAGATGGCCACAGCCTGCCTTCGGGTCTCCTAGGGAAGAAGAGAGACCGTGGTCCATTTGAAACTGAGAACGATCTAAGAACATGAAACACCTCGAGAAGGGGTGCATGAAGGCCCCGTGCAAAGGGTCCCCTGGATACCTGGAATGTCCCCAAGCCTGGCAATAGCTCAGCAGACCTTTGAACCTTTGCCCTGCAACTGCTGTGGCTGACCAGGGTGTGTGGGCATCAGGGGAGCCCACGCTCAGGACAGACGCCAGTTCCCACGTCCTCCCATGAGCATCATCATACCTGTGGCTCAGACACTTTCCAGAGAAAGGGGGACTGAGCTAATCTATTCTACTTGCATTGGCTGGGTAGCAAATATGTTAGGCTTTGTGGGCCATGTGGCCCCTGCCACAGCTACTCGCTCTCATGACCGCAGCCTGGACAGTGTATAAATGAGTAGGCGTGGCTGTATCCCAATAAAACTTTATTTACAAAAAACGGGTGGCAGTCAGATTTGGCCTGTAGGCCCTTTGGCCAACCTCCCATACTAAACTAATAATATTTCTATTTCTGAATAAACTATTCAAGGACCCTTATGATTGACTGAGGATGTTAAGACATAGAAGGGTTATCAGCGCTTGGGTTTTCAATAGGAATGACATACCACACTGAAAATACCAAAATCCTTACACCATACTGACATTTTCATTACTAATGACATTTACTGTGAGTTACAGAAGGGCTTGAGACATTTAAATAAACAAGAAAACACAGTGATTGATTTATCTTTTTGAGGTCCATGTTGGGTCTTTAGCTGGATGTGTTTACACGTCTATCTACAGAGCACTGTGGCTTATAATGTTCAGTGTGTAAAAGCAAGGAAACAGTCAGGTCTATCAAGCAAAGGGACATGACCCTGCAGAAACTAGACGAGGGGCAGCAAGCGAGACATATGTCAGCTGGCACTTGGAGGGCTGGGGGACATGGAAAATGGAGGATCTCTGTGCTTAGGACATGGGAATAGCAGCCATGTGGCTGGAAGGACCCTGTTAGAAGCTGAAGACGGTGTGACAGGGGGCTGCAGTGTCCCAGCCGGGGCAATGCAGCCCTGGTGCACACTGGCCCGGGAAGGTGAGGATAGACTAGCCCACAGTGGGTGGACAGAAGCTGTGAGGACAAAGATATGGCCCTGTGACTCCCCACATCAGAGCATCACAGACAGGACTTACTTCCGCCACAAGGCCAGGGGCTGCTCCAGGTCCCTCTCAGCGGGTCCCAGGGAAGCAATGAGCGCAAAGGGCCAGGCAAGCAGCATCATGAAGGCGGCGAGCAGCAGCCGGACGGGAAAGAGTGTCAGCGTCATGACCGCAATCTGGGGGAGACAGACCGAGGTCATTTGGAAGCACTGTCGCCAGGGAACCTCTCCTGTGGAATCTTCATGTGGAAGCTGCCCAGGAGCCAGTGCTAGACCTGCCCTGGTCAGGGTGCTGTCATCTCAGGAATGGCTGGGCAGGGTGAGCAGCAGCAACGTCCCACCCAGGGTCACAGGCGACCTGCTGCCCCACCTTCCCGCTCTGTTCTAAAGTCACCCCTGAAGAATGGTGGAGGAATGGGGTGCGGGGCTCTCTACTGGAGTCAACAGTGCTCCAGGAAGACCAGGGAATTCGGTGGCTTTCCAGACGAAGGAAGCCACAGGGTGGAAGCCCAGCAGAGAATGTGCCACCACGGGTCTAGCTGGGAGGACGCCGGGAAGGTGGGTTGGGGCTCTGTGGGCAGGGGCAGCAGGTTAGAGGACAGTGCAAACATGGGGTAGGAGCAGGAATGATGGATCCATGGGTTCAGCGGAGTGGTCGAGTCAGAGAGAGTCCGGTGGATGAATGGCTGTTGCTAAAACACAAGCATTTCCAAAACGCACACAGCGACGTACATAGCGACATTCTGGCTCTGCACCGACCGATATGCAGGTGGCAGGTCAGAAATGGACCAGAAGGATAACAGAATTGAAAACATATAAAGGCTTTATGATCCATAGATGCAGTACTTGATTATCTGCAATTATACACGCTTCAAATATGTAGGCTTGGTGTAGAGAAGACAGAAAAGACAAGGGGTCTCAAGCTCTTGGCTGCCCTGAACGGCCCCACTCTGCCTCACCTTGCTGGGTCTGTCACCCACAACTGAGCACATGCTGACTGTTCTTTTGGTCTCTGCAGATTTTTGGGTTCCTTGTCAAGACCAGCACGGCCCAACCTAATACAATGCAAGCTACGTGTGAAATTTTCAATTTTCTAGTGGCCACTTTTAAAAAAATACAAAGGTGATGAAGTGAATATGGTTTATTTAACCCAATATACCTGAAATACCACTTCACATGTAATCAATACAAACATTATGAGACAATTCACATTTTCCATGTCTTGGAAATCCAGTGTTTTATGCTTATAGAGCATCCCAATTTATACTCGTCTCGTTTTAAGTGCACAATAGCCACCTGTGGCCATGGCTGCCTGTTGGACAGTGCGGATCTGATAACCATGTTTTGCAAATGATGGCAATGTTTAATGGCCCTTCTTGCCTCCTCTTTCAGGAGCGGAGTACCAACAACCCAGTTGGAAGTTCCTGTTTCAGTCTGAGTCTGAACAGGAGCAGCAGTACCAGGTCTGCTGTCTACTAAGTGTGGGGGGCGGGGCTCTAGGCTGTTAGCGAATGTCTTTTACTGGCGAGAACATGCCTTCCCATTCCTGGCTTTCTGAGAACTTTGTTTTGCTTTAAATTGTGACTGGGTGCTGGACTTTGTCACAGGTCTGCCCTGAGTCCAGTGTGGAATCCTGTGCCTGTCCTCACTCACCCTTAGTGATGTGTTCACAGCCTGTCTCACATGAAAACCTTGGCTACCGTGCTGGGAAGTGAAATGGTTTTCTTTTTTTAAGGAATCGATGGGTCTGTCTGTGAACATGCCTCTGAGACTGAGTCATCACGTCTGAAACTGAGCCATCACAGGATCCTGACCCCCAGGTGTCCTCCCATGTTACTTCCTCTGGGTGGATCCTATGGGAATGTTAAGATTCCAGTCAGCTGACTCTTTAGAGAAATGTCGCCAAAGACTTCTGACTGCTGTTTCAATGTTTCTAAGGCTATTGTTTATTAAGATTTCTCTTTTCTTGATTTCATTTCAGTCAATGAGGAAATCTCTGGAAGTCCTCAGACCTTCCTCCCCCACCAAACTTCCAGGCATGAATGATTTCACAATAATTGAGTGAAGCTGCCATAACACTCGTTGTGTCTTTAGATCATTCCCGATCCACAATCTCACTGTTAATGTTATCTGTGCTTTCTAAAACTCTTCACTCGATATTGACAGATATTCTCCTACTTTATTAATCTGCTTATGGAACCAGCTTGATGTAGTCCTGGCCTGTATTGTGTCCTGTTGAGTCACACTGATTCTGGCTCTTACCAGAGTCTCTTCTACTCCACATCTGCGCTAACCATCTATTTCACATCTTGCAGTCAAAGCCAGCATTCTTTTTCAGAAATATCTTATTTCCCAATATTCACATTGACAAGACACCACTTTCTCTTAAGTACCTCTTTAATTTAATCCCACAACTTTGTAGCCTTTCCTTTATTTTTAACACTTAGTTTAAAATATTATGTCCTTTTATAATTTTATAATTCCGTTGCAGAGGGAAAAGAGATGGCAGTCTGTAGGTGACACTTCCCTCCTGTTCCTCAGATGTGACTCCCACATGCACCCTTCTTGCCACCCCCTGGGCCACCCTCACTGGGGAGCACCAGCTAGGAGCTCAGCATACTGGCTCTGCTGTTAAAATCGAGAGCTTCTCAATTTGCAGAGAAACCAAGTTACTGGAGAGTTTACTATTTGTTCCCATAAACCGTCATTTGTCTGGTATCTGAGCTGCAGACAAAGTGAGCAGGCACAGTAATTGAAAATCTCAAGAAGTCTACATACTCAGATGATGCGGCTTTTATACCACACCCTGCTCTGCAAGCATTTTCTGTTTCCAGAATGGTTTCTACTATAAATCATGGTCCAAAACACCATATTGCTTGGGGTTCCGGAAAGAGCAGAGTTTCCACCCCACCCCATGCATCTGAGACTTGTGGACTGGGATGGAGGCAGTGCCCCGTTCCGTCTGGACCAACAGGGAGAAGCTGGTGAGACGTGGTCAAGGGACCCGAGCCTGCCCAGCACCTGACTCAGGGCCAGACTGCTGCTGGCCAAGTTATTTGGTTAATTAGCAACACATGTTCCTGTAGCCTGGCCAGCAGCCATGAGGTTCACCTGGCCATTCCACATGGGACACAAGATGTGAACCTCAGGTAATGCATTAGTGCTCCTGCTCCCATGTGCATCAGGAAGGACACAGTCCTGGTTTCTGAGTTTTGCAGCAAGCAAGGAAAGGACAGGCTCTGACCCTCAGCACACAGACAAGTCTCCAATGAGATGAGGTGTGGGAGGGTAGGGACATAACGCAGGCCCCCAATGAAGCACCTGGCTCTGCGTGGACAATGGAGAGGAAGCAGTTCTACTGGTGTGTATATATACATGTGTAGATGTGTGTGTGTGTGTACATATATACACACACACTAAATATATTCATAGTGTTGTGTAAACTGCACCCCCACAGGGTGTAGGGGTTCCTGGCATCCCAGCCCAAGAGCACCTGTACTCTCCGGTGCTCCACCGGGTCCCCAGGTCTCTGCCTTCACCTCGCACAAGCACATGGCTTGTGTGTTCTCTGTCAGGCTCAGCCTTGCCTCCAAGGACACAGAAACCATCCCCAGGAAGGGCAGGGTTTGAAAGGTCTGCTGCAGCTTCCAGAATCTTCTGTGGGCTCTGGCCACTTGTCCTGAATAGGCTGCCCCCTGGTTGGACCCTCCTGTCCTCCTGCACCTTCTGGCCCACCTCACAGGCTCTATCACCTGTGTCCATCCCAGGACCAGCCACCGGCGTTTCTGCATCCTCACTATCCCCTAGACCCTGGTACAAACTGGCCAAGGACTTCAGCCTGTCCAGGCTGACTTGGTACTTCAGAGCCACAGAGAAGACGGCCGGAGTACCTACGACAGCCATGTGGATGTACACAACTCTGGTTGTGACAGGTGTCATGGCAAAGACGTCCCTAGAAACACACAGAACAAGAAACATCTGATGAAAATGGAACCCCTGTGATGTTCCAGGCAGTTTTGGCTGAATACTCGGAGGGCACTGTCATTAGTGACCAGGCTGGACATGCCGATTTCTCCCGAGGCAGCTGTGCTGCCTTCCTTGGCCAGCCCAGAGGGTGAGCCCATGGCTTGGCAGAGTCCTAGTACTTTGTTCCCCATCAGTAAGATGCAGGGAGGTGAAATGATCCCCCCAGGAGAGAGGGCAGGTGTTCACACCCCAAATAAGACCCAGCTCTGTGCTGGACACCGATATAGACACCTCAGCCTGGGGAAGGTCCTCCAGGACCAATTCCCACTGAAGCCCCTCTCACAGGAGCCATTCTCCACAAGAAGGTGCGGTGGCACCTGGCACATGACACCTGTGCAGGCAGTAGTTGGGTATGACTGGGACAGGGCCCTGGAGAGGGAGGGCCTTGCTCCCAGGTGACGACTGGCTGTTGCTCCAGGAATAGGGGGGGCAGTCCCAAAAGAGGCAGGAGCAGCGGTATGTTGGGGAGAATGCTGTGGATGGGGAAGGAAAAGGCAAAGGCTGGTGGTGCTAGGATCTGCAGCCCTCCATCATTAACAGGAGTCCCAGTCAGCCTCACACGTGCAGGTGACTTCACCCTTCTCGTGAGCTAAATGAGGGTTTGCAACACAATCCTATGAGGCACTACACTTAGANTGACACCTGTGCAGGCAGTAGTTGGGTATGACTGGGACAGGGCCCTGGAGAGGGAGGGCCTTGCTCCCAGGTGACGACTGGCTGTTGCTCCAGGAATAGGGGGGGCAGTCCCAAAAGAGGCAGGAGCAGCGGTATGTTGGGGAGAATGCTGTGGATGGGGAAGGAAAAGGCAAAGGCTGGGGGTGCTAGGATCTGCAGCCCTCCATCATTAACAGGCCCTGACTGAGTTACTTAACTACTGGAAACTGGGGTATAATGCGAATAACACTCACGTACATGCACATCTGCACGTCAAGGAAAGAGGCTTCAGTAGAGACCAGGCCTGCCCATACCTGGACCTCAGACACCCAACCTCCAGGACTGGGAGAAATAAATTCTGTCCTTTAAGCTGCCATCTGCGGTACTTTGTTAGGACAGTCCAAGCTAATACATTTGGAATATGACTGAAATTTCCCATGACAAGAAGTATGAAGTGACAATTCTCATTTTAGATGTAAAACACTCACCTATTCTCA